CCCGATTAAGATGTGGCCTTTGAATGATCATTTTACAACATATATAAAAACGGCATGCTTATTAGCCAGAGGAAAAAGAAGTGGAAGATATACATTATTAGAAGCTTATCAAGACTGCTGGGTGTGCTGCTGCTGCCCAGTCATGTCACGTCCTCACTGTCTGGGCTTAAACAGTCACTCAAAACAGAGAGAAACAACGTAACTAATGTTGATCGTGACTAAGTAAGATAATTTTAGCAAATATTTTGCTTAACTGAAAGATACAGTAACTATGCAAACATTCCTTGTCATAACTATAAACCTTAAAGCAGTTTTGAAAGTTTATCTGGTACTGGTATTACCAAAAATATGTATTTTCTGATTGTGAAGTGAAAGAAAAATGACTCAGATTTCAGAGCATAATCAGGAAAGTGTGATGTATATGTTCTCAGTTATTAAATCTATTCCAAACAACTGTCGCAGTCGCCTTCTTGGTAAAACATTTTCAACTGTTATTTACATATATTAATAAAGACAACCTTGTTGGACAGTAACAAAAAATGTCCTCCTTGGCTGTAGGTAAAACAGAAAAAGGGAACATGGTTGCCCGCTTCAATGGAATCAAAATTACACCTTTTGGTCTACATCCAAAACAATATGTGGAGGAGAAAACTTACACCCTGAGCAAGCACACTGAAATATGGGGATGACAGCCTCATGGTTTTCTTTAGCAGGACAGGGAAGCTGATCGGAGTTGATGGGAACAATAGGTGGGGCAAACAGTTAGAGACTAGGGCAGAGGTTCACCTTTTATGAGGACGATGACAATAAACATAGAGCCAGAGTCAAACAGTCTATAATCAAAGCCGACAGTAGGGGTCACCAGTGCGGTGCCTGTTGGCACCAAGGGCCCCTAAAGGACCACTGGAGGTCTGCACCTTCTGAAAACAAAAGAAATTTTATTTTATTCAGTTGCTCTTCTTTTTTAACCAAAATTGCATTTATATAGATTTCAAAATGACAATAACTAAAAGAAAATAAAAAAAATTAAAAGAAAAACAATAAAACTATGAATGTTATGCAAGAGGTTTAGGAAAAGGTCGACTCCTCCAGATCATAGGTCAGTATTAGTACCCTTTCCTATGATTCAGCACCCAAGAAATATAGCGGGTAAAATAAGTATTGGACATACCATTATTTTTCTCAGTAAATACATTTCTAGAGATGCATTTGACATGACATTTTCACCTGATGTCGGAAACAATCAATAAAATTAACACATTAAAAGAAATCAAAACATAGAGGTCCAGAAATTAAGTATATGTTTGCTAAAGATAAATATGTGATCAATACTTTTTCCCTGTGCTATTCCACATTAATCCACATTACTTCATTTCTGGAGATATATGGTTTAATTTCTTTGTATGTGCATGGATTGTTACCAACATCTGGTAAAAAAGTCATATCAACAGCACCTCTAGAAATATATTTACTGAGAAAAATGATTGCATTTTCAACATGTATTTTACCCGTTACAGCTGTTATGGTTATAGAAATTGGTGACCCCAGGCCTACAATATTCATGTTTTTTCACAGCCAGACCTGCAGCTGTTCATTTTCTGTCTTTTAAGTCAGAAGGGAGAACTCAGAGTTAAATAAATTTTAATGTTTGCATCTTTCAAGACATCCCAAGAAAAAATACCTCTTGATTTAATTTTTGTTTCAGAGTTCCAATAATTTTGGTGTATGTGGATTCTTCAAGAACAGAGTTTGTTCTAGAACCCACACTAGATGGTGCTGTTTGCCTGACAGATGGTCCATTGAGCTGATTTGATGCAGGTATAGATCAGATAAAAAAAAAAAAAAGCTGTGAAGACTTTGCTCTTTGGTTGCAACACATTTCAGATTGGCTCCTTCTCCTGGGTATGAGCCTTTATCCAAACAAGGCCATAGAAACAGCTTAAGATCTTCTAAAGAGAGCTGTTTTTTTTTTTTAACCTGGCACCATTTCAAAAGTCCATAAAAAAACAAAATAAAGTTATTCCCATATATAGCTCTTATGTTTACAGCAAACCTTAACACTGAGTGGCAAAACCCCACAGGAACAGCCTGCTGAATGTTTATACTCAAACAAAATACAACTGTCCTGTCTCTTTCCACTTCTGGTCCCCTGCCTGCAGGATGGTTGTTGTTCCAGAGCACCCGCCAGTGGCTGTGAAATACACAGAGGCATCAGCCAAGGGTGGAATCCCTTGGTGGTGTATGTGAACTGGATCCCCAGACCGCGTTGCTACAGTGCTATAGCAAACATTACACGCTGCTGCAAAGTCTTGCTTCTGTGTGGGACTTAGCTGTGTCAGAAGGCTGGATGGGGCTCCACCTGTCAACATCAATGCCTTCCAAATCTAATAAAAGGATTCAATTATTGCTATTATTGTAGAAGATTGTATATTTTCTAAATGTCCTTATGTGCACACAACTATTTGCATTGTTGGAGATAAATTTAACACAGTTACACATCCATATTCAGTAATAAGGGTTATCTGTGCAGTTTTTCTTTCCTTGTATTTAGTGCGCTTATATAAGCCTTTCAAAAGGCACTGAAAGGTCACAAAAGAAAAAATAATCTAATCAGGTGCAGTTCATGCAGCTTCATAAAATAGTTACTTAAAAAAACCAACCACTGATAGAAAGTATATTAACTTTATATGTGAGAGTTGCACACAAGCATATACTATATATTTAGTTAAGTGAAAGAAAAAAATGTGGTAAAGAAAGGTGCATAAAAACAGAGATAGAGACATACTTTAGTTATTGGTAAGCAAATTGCCCTGAAACTTCAAGATGGTGTCAGCTGCAGCTCGAATCACTGCTTTAAGCATAACCACACAATCTATCTATCTATCTGGGACATGTTCTATTACATTTGTCAGAAACATTTTAGCTGACATATAAAGTACAGATTGGATTGGATTTTAGTGCGCCACAAATCTGTTTTTAGATTAACATACCGGTAATTGCTGCATTTATTTGGAAATCAAGACCCAGTGTGGAGAAAGTGGATCAAAATAGGTTTTTATAGTTATGATTTGGAGAGCCAGTTTTAGAGCATTCCATGTTTTCCTTGTGATGACAAAATCTGTGGAGAAGCCGATATTATTTTCGCTCAGGGTTTATGAACTGTCCACACTACCAAAAGTACAAATGACCCAATGCGAGGTAGATTGACTAATCCCCACTGAGGATCTATTGATAAATGTTAAGAGGAAAAGACCAGATCTACTGTAAGAAGACCTGGGCTTCTAGACCTCTTTAGCAGCATAAATGAAGCAATAAATGATACAAAAGTATACACCAAATATTGAATGCATATGCCAGGGGTTTGGGCATCAACTGGATGACTCGATGCAACAGATATGCTCTCACTTGGCAATTGGTTATATTAAAATTCAATTTAGAAAATACCTTAATTAAATGTTGTAGTTACTGGGTGTGCTTCGCTTAGTCCTCAATGTGGCTGACCCGGGTTTGAATCCATCCTGTGGTCCTTTGCTACCATTATTTATTGTTTGGGTAGCATTTCACTGTTCTAATAGCGATGGCGTTATCAACCCAGAAGTTTATGTAGTCAGTCAGTCACAGACTAACTTGTTGCATTGATGTCCTCTACATCTGGCTGACAGTGATCACAGTCTGTATCCTCAAAACAAACTTGCAGGGCTTCCTCCTTCCTTCATGAGACCATCTTCTTTCAGTTTTTTTTAATTGTAGGTTGTATCTTATAAAGTGGCTTATAATCTGATCAGGAAAAAAAAGATTGTGATCTGATTTTCCAAGAGAAGGTCCTACTTTAAAGATGCGTGAGTCATAAATGCATTAAACAGGTCCAAAGTTTTTAACTTTGGCAGATGGCAGAAAGTGAGGCGTGATTAAATCACCACTTATTGCCACAAATGCATCTGATTGTGTCTCGGGCTTTGCAAAAACGGAACTGATTAGATCAAATGCAGCGTTGGCAATGGAAGGTGAAATTTAAACGGTTACTAACAGAGCACTGGTAATCACTCTGGGCAAAATATGGCCGAAAACCAACGGCCAGTAGTTCAATATATCGGCAATAGTGACAAATCCTCACATAAACATATCTGGATGATACCATCTGTTGTTCACAAGCACTGCCAAGCCACCTTCTTTGACTTTCCAGTCTTCTTTAAGTCTCTCTGCTCATATGGTCATAAAGCCTGGCAGAGAGACACTGGAGTCAGAGATACATTGCAGCCATGTTTCAGTAAGACACAATGCTGAATTTGCCATATTCTTGCTGCTGCATGGTTTTAGCTTAGGATTCTTCTAAATGTTTCCCCAAGTCATTTTGCGAATGATGACTAACAGAAGAGATTGCTTAAATTTCTTGTTCCAATCTGGTCTCCTTGATCTTGCTCTGCATTCCCGTCGCCTCTTTTTCAATTCAGTTGGTACGTGCAGAAATAGTCGATGTGGTATTTCAGCTTTAAAGATATTAATTCGCTTGCGCCTTGTATTAAAAAAAAAACCTACTTGCTATGGTTGCTGTGTTTACACATAAGTATCCAACAAGAACAATTTATCAGTAAAAAAAGCTTCTTCAACGCATTCACAAGAAGCAAAAATCATAAAAAAGAAACAAATTTCTTGATCGACGAAGGAAAAACGAAAGTTCTAAAAAAAAAAAAAAAAAAAAAAAAAAAACTTGACTTGGGCAGCTATAAATTGGTCATACCCCTAACCAGTATAAGCACTTGCCAGTAGCAGTTTTTTAATAAAAAAATCCCATTTATTCCTAATTGTATTAAATATTCTGATTCCATGAGGGGACAGAATTTTTGGGGGGGTTTACATTACTTGCAGATTTTATTATTTAAATTGACAGAAATATAATAACCTACCGGTACACGACTAATCCTTTTTTTTGAGGTGCACCTGTACAGGATGTGATGAGTAAAAGACACTCCTCTAAAGCAAAAATAAACATGACCAAGTCGGCCTATGTCAGCAAAGGATTTTTAACTTAATTTTATTAAAATATTGAATAGACGACCTTCCCACCAAGTTCAAAATAAAACATTTTACCTCTTCAAGGTTACAAACAACAAAATTAGTTCCCAAATCACTGAAAATATTTAAGACGCATGCCGAATGTCCAGCTCATGATAACCAAACGATAGTAAGGGTGTGGGCATCCACAAACCAGTTTAGTGAAAGCCATAAAAACCCTCAAGTCTTCGAAAATAAGCCCTAAATAAAGAACAAATTATTTAAGACAAAACAGAATCAGCTACTGTGCAACTAGAGCTGCTTCCAGTGGCTTTGTGAAGACCAGAAGAGGTGAAGTTGTGCTGAAACTTAGCCCAGGCTTTGTTTCCTTCTAAGGCAGCTAAGCTTGAGTAGTCCCTCTCCAGGCCTGATAAAAGCAAGGCATCACAGAAAACAGATCAGGAAACACGCGTCTCCTGAGCTTCCTTCAGTGTCCATTCATCGTTGTTTCAGGTAGGCGTGTGTGTGCTTCTATATACAACTTAAATCAAATACCATACAGACACAAAGCCTCAATGTACTTCTTAATGCTCATGGGAAGTACCTTACACTGAAATCTTCATGTTAGGATCTGATTGCAATCTTCCATACATAATCTCTGATGCTCCTCCTCCCGTTTAACTCCTTTACTAACATATTCATTGCCTAACATTGGTTTATGAATGATTGCATGTGCATTGTTCTATAAAAATGTCTTTAGGGAGGGAATACGAGTTTATTGATAGTGCGGCATAATCTTTTTTGCTGAGGAGGAGCCTATGTGTAAACAGGCAGCCTGGTGGTCAGAGTACAGGCGTTGATTTCCTCTGTCTGTGCAGCTCTGTGCAGGGACGGTTCTGAGGCACTGCGGTTTATCTTAGGGAGGGCGTGCTGGAGGAGCTCAATGGAGGATAAGATCTAAGAACAAGATAATATAAAGGGAAATTACAAACAGATTAATTGGAAAAATATTAAAGATTCTGTCTCAAAAACAAAAGAGGAGCTCACCTGCGGAAAAAGCGGCCTTTCTTCCTTGGACTTCTTGATGCAGTCAGCCACCAACCTCTTCATGGCTTTGGGACAGTTCTTGTAGAGCTTACTGAGGTCTGGGCACAAACGATCTCTTCCCACCATGTATATAATCTAATGGGAGGAGTTACAAAGACTTGATGAAGCTGAGAGGACAACTAATCAGATTTAGAAATTACAGTCTCGCAAAAGCATTTTATAGCCTGAAAAAAATCCCTTTAGAAGTCATCCAATTAGGAAACAAACTCCACTTAGATGCAATTTATCTCTGCAAATGTGATTGTTTTGTGAAAAGTGTTATTTAAAAAAAAAAAGATAGTTAGGAACTAGTACAATACCAGATAAAAAAAATAAAAAACTAGACCAAAAAAACTATTTTCACATCTAAAAAAAAAAAATATCCACCTCTGTCCACCTAACCTGACTGGCAGCACAAGGAGAGTAGGAAAAATTTCTGGTCATGCATGGTAAAACTCCAGCATTTACAGAAGCGTGGCAAAGCCACTATCAAAGGAAGGCAATGTACCTTTATGTGTTTAAGAAAAAAATAAAAGTGAATTACTTCAAACAGATCAGAACTGCAATGAGAGATGGTTCTAGCAGCATCAGGCTACAGGGATGCTTCTTTTCATCAGGGAAAAGAAGGCTTAATATACCACGTAATTGGAGCTGAATAATGCTCAATTTTGTTAAAGGCAACAAAGACTTGATAATGGTGCAGTTGTCCACCTTCCACCAACAGCAACTCAGTCCATACTAAACATCTAATAAACTGTGAGAAGTACTAAATGTTTAGACATTCCCTTCTAATCTGACAGATCTTGAGCTATTTTGCAAAGAAATTTAACTTTTGCTAGACATGCCAATCTGATGCAGTCATAGGCTAAACCACAAGAGGACTAAAAAAATAAATTTGCAAAAAAAAAGTTTAAAGACTTGTATCATTTCCTGCAATGTTTTGTTACATTAACAAAAACACATTTAAGAGAAATACAATCTGCAACGATAACTTGAGGCCATTTGAAAATGAGCAGAAAGGCTTTTACAAGCTATGCAAAAATTAATCTTAATATTTTGAGTTTTACTCAATTTTAGTTCTTTTAGAAATGTAATGTTTGTATTCTCTTAAGCTGTCCTTTTAGAAAAGATATTTGCAGCAGTATAATGTTACCTCGATTCAGTGGTGGGGGTGGGGGTATTGAACTATTCAGGCCACATTTAATAATTAAAGCTGTTCCTGTATCGCTGGTGCATTAATATGGCTGAGCAAAAGCAACTTTTGTTGGTAGAAGAGACAAAATATGAAAAATAAAGAGTGAAAATATCTGTATATATTTGAATATGAACTAAAAGGGAAGCCGACATTCACCCTGAAACAGCGGTCATTCAGATGGATATAACTTTAAATATGGTGAGATAGACTAAGGTGGCAGACATCTAAAACATTACAGCCATTGTAAAGGTATGAGGGCATGATGGTGCAGAGATAAAAGATGACAGCAGTACTCCATGTGCCTGCAAGTTCACCCGAGTACAAGGTCATTCCACCGGATCAGGAAGAACAGGTTCCTGCATAGACCCTAATACTATTTTAGGCACAAGTTCTTAAACGCTTAAGTCCTATTCTATACAGATGAGAACCCAGATCTTAATTAGCCAGATCTTCTACCCTAATGGATTTTATAAAAAGGCAGGACTTAAACTCTGAAATGCAAACTTGAGAACCCCTTTTTTCACAGGGTTGGATTACGAGATCTAAAATTAGGCCAGCGGCTCCAAGTCGTCGGTCTCTGTCGGCCATAGGCCAGCCCAACAACCCCCATCAGATGGCAGCAGAGTGTTTTCATGACCACAGATTTGAAATTGGGGAAAATGTCAGATTGCAGTGTCACAGTTATTCCACACAAAATACCGAAAACTATTGCTGCACAGTTTGGATTATTTAAGTTAAATTTTTTGATAGTTTTACAGTTTTTATAGTTATACTTACCTTAACTTGATTAGTCCAACATATCTCAAAGTTTAAATATTCAGATTTCTAACTTTAAGCTGTATTCAGTTGCTAAAATAAGCTGGACATCTGTTCAACAGACTTTGTAAAAGCTGACCTTTTCCATGAAAATTTTATTTCTCTTCAAACAAAATCCCTGCCTACTACAGATAAGGGTACCAATGACACCTTTATAAAACCTTTAACGAAAAAGGAGAACAACCAAGAAATACAAATGAAAAATGTAAATTTGGCCACCTGAAGAAGAGCCAGATGTGTAAAGGATTTCACCTGATCTCGGCTTGCTATGTGGGAGTATGGGAGCTCTCCAGTCATCAGCTCAAAGAGAACGATTCCATAGGAATAGACATCAGACTGGAAGCTGTAGGGATTGTTATCCTCCATTCGGATCACCTCTGGAGCCTGTAAATGATGCACACATCATTGTTAACTTTACAATAAAAATAAAAAAATAAAATGAAGATTAAAGAAATTTAGCAATTAGAGTTTTGTAAACATTTTTAATATATTGAGATTTGGGTGTCGTAAAAGCCAAAACTCCTGCTACTAAGATCACTCTTTAGAAATTTCTGTTGTCCTTTCAAGATCCATTACCGTATAATATTACAATTTCATAAATATTTTTTCATAGCCTTTCCGTTTTGAGCAGTCATTCATTATGTAGTCTTGGAGCAAATTTGTTATCACACTGAAGTGTTCCAATTTGAAATAAAAAAACACCACTGAGTTCTGGATTCTCAAGGTTTTTAGCATCTAACAGACCACCCTCTGTCCAGAACCCCCCTTCCCCTCCCCTTCTCACCAACCACCTTCTATGTGGATATTTTTTAAGTATAAATACTAAGAAAAACAGCGTCACCTTTCAGACAAACATGTCTAATGAAGTACTAAGTAACTCATAGCTGCAAATGCTGTCAACAAGGGAACTTCATTTTGGCAAACTATCATCCCGGGTGAATATTCTGATCAGCTTGGGGGTAAAATTTAAAGTCCTGAGTGGCTGGCTCAGTTGGAGAATGCCACAGAGAGATTTTTTGATGTCACACCATATTGCATCTAAAAAAAAAACCTTTAGATGTACACATTAATATTCTTTAGTTCTTTCTGTCTAAGATAAAGGATTGTTGCGCCTTTAAGGAAACTGATGCTTTTGGAGAGAGCATTACATAAAATAGGGAAAGACATGAGGGTTACCCCAGAATATTTAACACATGGTTTTCTTTAAATACATTTTTTTTAAATGTATTTAAGATTTTAGATTTTTTTTTTATCTATTCTGGGCAAAAAGACACTCAACCTTTTCTCTTTCAAAAGCTTACCGACTAAAGCCAAGCTTTTTGAGTCTTAGCCTGCCTCTGCTTTAGAATGGAAGTCTGTGTTGCTATTTATTCTAAAATCTGGTAAAAATTAAGGATAATAAAAGACATTTCTTGTTGTATGTAATATTAATCTATTAGTGAAAAGTCGGATAGGGAAAAGTATCGATGGTTATCAACCCGTTGTGCTTCCTGGTTAAATTTCAATAAACAAAGAAGCGATGGTCTCTCCACAGGCAGCCCTTTGGGCTCTTCTGAAAGTAGAACATCAGTACATGCAAAAATAAATCTGTGAGTTGTCCTTCGGAGTTGAATTATTTGCTATAAAATTATTCATCTTCCCTGATTTCTACTGGCCATTTCGACAAAATGTTTCCAAAGAAGTTAAGAACTACCATTTTGTTGCAGAAAGCTCTTTTTTTGCTTTCAAAATAGCTTCCTTTAAAACAGCTTCTTGCATGTTTTTTCATCCCCTGACTATTCTTTGTTTCATAAAGGACAACCCAAAATCAGTTTTCATTCCCTCGATAACTGCATCCACACTAAAGAATATAGAGTTCAGTAGTTGGGAAAAGGCTGGGTTTCTGAAACCGGATGCTCAAAGGTTGACATGGCTTTTTTTTTCTTTTTTTTTTCCAAGTTCATTGAAATGCACCAACCATCCAAAGAATGGATCCAGAGGGTTGCTCCACCTGTTGTGACCCAGTCCACCTGGACTTCACAGTAGCAAGACCAAAGTCGCCGATTTTTACAGTTAACCCCTCGTGCAGAAAGATGTCTGTGCAGATGTCAAGGTATTACATCTAAACATACTGAGGAAAAAGGCTGACTTTGTGCTTCACTCACAGTAAAGCCACACATTAAAGGGAATGGAAAAAAATAGTAGAAAAGGATACTGTTGGACTTCATGTCACGATGAATTATGTTTTTTGCATGTAAATAGCTGGAAAAAAGAAAAGGAAAAATGAATCATGCTGCCTGAGACATTTTGTATCAAAGCTCCGTTCTTGGTAACTTACTCCATGCCCTGAGCTGTCTGTCTGGCAATATCGATGAGCTGGATCATGGTGAAATTAGTCTCCAGGACATGGATGTGTTTGTAAAGGCTGCTCCCCTCACACCACTGCGTCACGATGGCCAGGTTGTCCCTCGTCATGTAGCCCATAAACAGAAGGATGTTGACATGTCGGGTTTTCCTGCAGAGCACAAAGCAATGAGGAAATGAAGACACTGTCACATAAAAGTTTGAAGTGAGGATGATTCACTCTGAATTTGTCAGTTTGCAACTGTTGATAGTTTTTTTTTTTTTATTGGAAAAGAGTCTCTCCTGTCATTGTACCAAAAAGACAACAATATATCTGAATTTCTTTAGCAGTAACATAAGTAACAGAGTAAACATATTCCTGTAAGAGATTACCTTAGAACGGCCACTTCATTTCTGAATGCTTGAAGCTGCTCCGGTGTTGGGTCAGTAACCTTTAATATCTTCACTGCAACATCACCTACAGGAGAAACACTTAAAGATGAGAGGCAATGACGTAAAAACTTTGCAATGTTTGTATCTTTTACCATTCTTACCATGCCATTTTCCTTTGTATACTGTTCCAAAAGAGCCTGAACCAATGTGGGAATGTAGATAAACCTCGCTGGCCTCAATTTCCCAGTAATAACTCGAATCTCGATTAGGCCTCTGCATAAACAGGAACCGAAGAATGACGCAACTATTCACTCAAAAAAAACCATGTATTAAAAACATAAAAGGCAGAACATACAATTTTATTTTTCTCCTGAGTGTTGAAGGATGAGGCTCTTTCTCGATGGGAAGCTGGGGCTTTGGACTGTGTCCAGCCTGTGGGGCTCTGGCTGGGGGAACTTCCAGCTATAGGAGAAAAATCACAACAAAACCAAAAGACAGCGTTCATTAATCATTTTTACCAGTGCTTGTACAAGCCGTTTGATCAGAAGTGATTAAACTGAAGCATAAGTTTTTATATGTAATTAACTTTTTAACATTTTGTCCTGTTGAGCCAGAACATTTCAATGTTTTATATAAAATAAAGAAGCCGTTTCATAATTCTACAGTATAAACTTGGCAGCATTTGGTTTTAGCAGCATTAATGTAGCTAAGGTGTGTTATTCAATACATAGAACCCCTGTAATGGCATCTTCTGGGTTGCAGAGCAGTTGGCATATCATATTGTATATCCATTTGTCACGATTCTCTCTATTGAGTAGTGGTAAAAGTTCCAAAGGTCTGTAATGAAAAGCCTCAACAGTTTGAGTTTGTATTCAACCCCAATAAGCCAATAATTAATACTTTATAACAGATTCCCAAAGTTGGGGTCAGGACTCCATGGAGTTTTGATATCAGTAATTAAACAATAGATATTAGAATATATATAACTGATAATAATAACAATATAAATCAGGGACTGCTCCAATCGAATTTGTTCAGGGATTTCAGCAGAACGGTTTTAGCCAGTCATGGTTACAAATGAAATAGCAGCAGATGGAAAGAGAAACCACAACAACTTAAACTTTTATGCCCTTGCTGTTCCTCTTTAAAAGATCAAATCGTGGATTCCGACAACACGGATGTGATAGCAGCAGCTATGCGAACGTCCTCCTGCACTGTTCTGTTTCTATTGGCTTGGCAGCTTTTGGCTATAAACCATAACGCTGCAGCATAATTGGCTAACCTACAACGGATCAAGAGTGTTTGAAAGTACAAATACCACAAGAATTCAGCTTGCAGGCAAGGTTACTTTTCCAAGGTATTGTACATTATCTGTTCTTAGAGACCAATAATTAACCTTCAAAAGGAAGGTGGATGCAAATTTAATTCAGGCAACTGGATCTAAACTTTCCATTCGTTTCCACATTCCACACCCACAAGCAACCCTAAAAAATTGTAGAAGGGAAAGTTTGATTTGAGGAAGTACAAATGAAAATTACCAAAACTAGTTGCTCAATGTCCCATTTCAACCAGCTTGATCTTCCATCATATTCCTCAAATATTAAGCTTTCTCTTTTACATGATCAAAACATACGCATAATTTAAAATGGTGTGAAAAGTCAAAAGCTTACAATTTATAGTTCCTGTGAGGAATATAATAAACAATAATGTTAACATGCTAAGCGGAACTCACCTGAGTCATGATCCCGCATGACATCCTGAAACACAAATTAACACACAAAAAAATACAGGTTATTTTTAATAAGCTTACACAAACACTAAAATTGATGCCATCTGCCACTCATCACGCGACATCTGCATTACTGAGATGAAAGTGCAGATAACCCACTTGCAAGGCATGCATTCAGGTCGCACACAGTTACTCTGCCTTCTAACCTTTTCTGGACTCTCAGACGAGGCCTCAACAAAAGTCTCGGGAAAGTGCACAAAACCTACTTTCCTCTTCAGCCAGAATCTACGGCACCAGGAGCTGTGAGAGGTACTCAGACAGTCTAGCTACTCCCCAGTAAACAATATAAAAGGACCGGTGAGGAGACAGGAGGAAAAGGGAAGAGTTAAGAAAATGGGGATGAAATAAGAAAAGAACCTCATGTTTTGGGTTTAAACGGACTAAGTAGAGCAGAAATCATGAAAAACATGTGAGCTGATTATGCAACCCTAGTGATGGTGATAAAGCAGAAACTGGAACTGAACGAGGAAGTCAAAAAGTGTAAGGGCATTAAAAAAAAAAAAAAAAAAAAAAAAAGCTGAAACAAGATGCCATCTAGGGCCTAAATAAATACACTGTTCAGAGGATGACTTAAAACAAAGCTAAATGATGCAAGTCAAAGACTGAGGGAATCTCTAAGATATAAGCATTTTAAGGTCTAAGACAACTGGACGAAGCTTACCTCAAATGAGCTACCGTCTACAGGCAGCGCCGTGCTGACCATGTGGACATTAGGTGTAGAAGTGGAGCGCTGCCTCTGGGAGAGCCCACCGCTGCCTGCAGGTTGGTATGGTGGGGCGTAGTTAAAGGCATGAGGGGTCGAGTTTCGGTGGATCGAGCTGGGAAAAAAATAGAGGACAAGAATAAAGAAAAGGAATTATTGAATAAATGGAATAAAAACCAAGCTGCTGACCCACAGATAAACAACCTTTTTACTGTAACTAACATTCATTTCAGAAAGTTCTTTAAAATTAGTCCAATGTGGGTGTGCTGGTTTAATTTCTGTCACGTTTACTCCTTTTCAGGTATTTATTTTTTAGAATATGGGCTGAAGTCACATCTTTGACACAGAAACAGACAACAGAGTGGGTAACACACCTAATCAAAAGGATAAGCGCACAAAGGGGGAAAAAAAGGTTAAAGTAAAAGATTTTTGGGGAAGTAACTTATTGGTTAATATTTATTACAGCCTTCCCCTTTGAGCCATTGTTTGTTGTGTCAAAGTTGCAGAGGCATTTTGCCAACACCAGTCCTGGCTCAGTTAAAGAGTACAAAACTTACCAGCCAGGTATGTTAATCTTAAAATGACCTGGCTGCTGCTCATATCTAAGGTCTGCACATACAGGCTTACACTTTCTAATTTTAGCAAGTACAAATATTCATTGGCATGCAGTAGATGTTGAAGTAGATCAAAGGTGTAGTTAGACCAAAACACAAAAAACTCACCTGACTGAAATTTGGATACTTAAAACCACAAATTTCCTAATATACATGCATGTATTTTTTAATCATTTTAAACAACAGATCAACTCAAAGTAGCCCATAACTGGAAGAATAAGAGGGAAAATAATTTTTGTTATTTTGTGGAAAAATAACATTGATCGAGGCGGTGGCAGCATCATGCTGTGGGCTTGAATTTCACAATAAGGGTCATGGACGGTGGGCAATGTTAAGAGGAAGACAGGGGAAGCCATAAAGCTTATGCCCCGGATATGTCGATGGTATGACAGGAAATACTATTGTGATAAATTTATAAACTTTGAGATTGGGGGAAGGTTGACCTAACAGACAACAGCAATGAGTTGGTAAGGAAAAGATCTATGTTAAGAACAGTTTAATCAAAATCAAAATCTTTGGAAAAACTTAAAGGAGAAGTTCGGTTTTTTACACTTTAAGCCCATTTTCTGTAGTGTCCAGGATGAAATCGAATGATCGACACCAAAAGTTTGACAATTGCTCCTGTCTCTGCTTTTTGGCTCATTTAGAATCAACCCCTGGCTGCTTTAGAATGGCTTCCATAGAGCATGTCCGATAATGTCCTTAAAACAACCTTAAACGTTCTTTTTTTTAAATATGCTACTCACCGTGTCGTCAGCGCTGTTCAATGACGTTCCAAAAAAAGTTTCGTGAAGAAACAACGTTCCTGTAGTGTTTTATTTAGCATTTTGTAAATCCCATTGAGTTCTGTAGGAATAGTCAATATTCCCCTGCCACCGGAAACGGAAATGGGGCCTGTTTACACAGTTGTAGTCTTTTCGCTTCACTCTGTGTACTCCGACGTCGAGAATCAAGAATCCACCTTTCGTATTCCATTTTCAGAGTTTTTTTAAGTGTTTAACAGAGACGTTAGCACCTCGATGTCGGAGTACACAGAGTGAAGCGAAAAGACTACAACTGTGTAAACAGGCCCCATTTCCGTTTCCGGTGGCAGCGGAATATTGACTATTCCTACAGAACTCAATGGGATTTACAAAATGCTAAATAAAACACTACAGGAACGTTTTTTCTTTACAAAACTTTTTTTGGAACGTCATTGAACAGCGCTGACGACCCGGTGAGTAGCATATTTTAAAAAAAGAACGTTTAAGGTTGTTTTAAGGACATTATCGGACATGCTCTATGGAAGCCATTCTAAAGCAGCCAGGAGTGGATTCTAAATGAGCCAAAAAGCAGAGACAGGAGCAATTGTCAAAATTTTGGTGTCGATCATTCGATTTCATCCTGGACACTACAGAAAATGGGCTTAAAGTGTAAAAAACCGAACTTCTCCTTTAAATAATCACAGATTTTAAGATGCTCTCTGTTTTTTCAGTGTGAGCCATTTTGCAATAATGTTAAAAACACTTCAGTTTGCTAGAGAAAATAAAGTCAACTATTCATTTCCTTACACTTTACACTTGAGCATCAGTTTGGTGAATCAGATGAAATATCAGCCAAACAAATTAAAACCTGCAGTTTTAGGGTGCCTAATCTCTGCAAAAAGTCAAGCTGTATAAATACTATTGCAAGGCACTGCAGGTAGTGCCTGCACTTGCGCTGCACACGACCAAGACAGATATGGAAATGGCTTTGGTTACTGAAAGGTTATACCCTCACACAATAACCCACATAAAAAGCAATGACAGACTACAAAGACTAATGATATACTAATAGGAGTGATTTAAGATATAAAACTGATACCTCTCCTAGAAACTTAAAAAGTGGTTTGACCTAATCCGCCTGCCTTTCTCAAAATCTAGTTACTTTCAGAGCAGCACATTATATCTAATCACACTCATCATCGCAGTTTCAATATGAGAAATATTGCAATCGGAAATAACCGCTTTGATGTTCAATTTTGTAGGTCATTACATTGCGGTGGCCATGCCATGCATACAATTGTGTCAACTATATTTTGAACCATATATTTTTGCTGGGGCTGATGCCGGCACCTGTTTTACATTTAAAAATTCAGCCATAAATCTTAGAACATTTAACAAGTATTGCCCTGTAAAGCTTTCCTAGAAGTTAGCAGCCATAGAAAGGTTCCACTAGCAATCTGTTTCTTCTCCATCACTTCTCGCTGTAAAGCCAAGTTAGTTCAGCTCACCTCGGAAACCGGGTTAGGGATTCCCTCATACGTCGGGGCGGAAATTGTGGTAGGGACGGGAAACCACTTTCTCCTGGTGTTGGACACAACCTGATGAAGAAAAAAAAAAAAAAAAAAACTGTAGGAACTTGTGGAAATGTTGACTCTAAAGTAGGAAGTGACTGCTATAGGATGTACAGATAGACTGCAATGCTCTAAAGAATTTTTATTCTTTTAGAAAAACACCTCCCAGTCCTTCTTTGTTCCCATAGCTAAATGTTCTTCTGACATCACTGAGGAAGGAGAGGTAAAAAGGGAAGAAAGGGAAAGTTGTAACCAATGTCCGGGATATGCCACTGTGAAGCGTTTCCTGTAAGTCAAGGCTACAGCAGCAGTCATCTGCCGGAGAATCTCCTCTAAAACACTGAATGAACCCTCAACACTCAAGGGTGCACCCTTTTCCTTCCACTCAACTTTCCTTTACTAAGCTTGGATACTGCAATCTGAGAAGCCACCTTCTTCAGCAACGAGCTTTTGAAACAAACCATCTTTCAAATGGTGTCATTTAAATATTTTTCAAGGTCTCAATCCTTAAGTAAGGGCGAGTGGTGGCCTAGTGGTTAGGGTATAGGGTTTGGAATCCTGAGGTTGTGAGTTTGAGCCCCACAGACTGTCAACCTGGCTCCCTGAGCAAAACTCTAACCCTAGGCGCCCCACAATTGCAGCCTTCTGCTTCCCAGGGGATCGGTTAAATGCAGAGGTAAATTTCTCCAATGTGAGATCAATAAAGTTCCATTATTTTATTTTATTTTTTAATCAAACCCTCATTTTTTGTGACAGAAAATAGACACTGAATATTTCACAACATATAATATCTAGTTTTTCAATTTAAATAATAATATTCTGTTTTATTAAGATGCACCAACAAAGAAGCTGTCAGGTTAAAGGGATTCTCCTCTTTGTTAGTAATTACTGTTGATTCTTCACCCATCAGGCAGGGAAAAACTAAAAAGTCTCTGTTCAGGGTGCATGTGTGGAAAGCTATGCAAATAAGAGTGAGCTAATCCGAAGTCAGCTATCATTACAGCTTAACTTCCCTCTTTTATCTTTTCTGTGCTAAAGAAATTTACCTCTCAAACATGTGTGACCAAATATACATGCAATACTAATCCTCTGTGTGTGTTCAGATGTATGGATAATGGGGGAAAAAGTCCTACTCCTGTATTGTATTAGTTCGTACTGCAGAAATTGACTTTTTCAGCTCTAAAACCAAGAATCAAGTGACAGACATCCAATTAATTAGAAACATATTTTCCCCTTTTGGTATACTTACAGGAGTTGTCTAATGTTGCTCCAGTCCACACACATGGTGGGCACTTTGGTGCTACAATGCTCATGAAATTTATAGCCGCATGTTTGGCAGCGGAATCCATTCAGGAGAAACTTCTGGCAAATGTCGCAGAAGGCTAGCTTCAGATACGTCTTCCGGACCTAAAGGAAGAAAAAGACACGATAAAAGTGTAAAGACATTTTTTTTCCTGTAGTTATATTTCCAAATAAGGGAAGTTGTGATTGGTCAAGCTACTTACAAAATTATGCGTTGTCAAAGGGACATGATCTAAAACCTCAACAAGTAGCTCTTCCCCGATCAGTGAGGTTGAATCAGTATTCCAGTCCATCCGGGATTTTTTACTACAAATATATAGACACACAATAAATGTATTTAATACCCACAGTGGGAGGGCTGAATAATCTTACTTCTGATTATCGGATATCCTGAGCTTACTTTCTCTGTCCGGGATGCAGCTGGAAGACGGCGCAGCACTGAGGCTGCAGACCTCGTACCTTCAGGGCTTTGATCAAACAGCTGTAAAGAGTCATACCTGGTCGTACGTTTACCTAACAGAACCACAACGAATAATAATGACATTTTAAAAAAAAAATATATATTAGTTCTGAAGCATCAATCGGAGCCTGAAATTTCAGAGGCCTACCACAGTGCGCTGCTGATTTGGAAGGAAGACGCGGATCGTGCTGTTAGCCTTGGAATCTGGAATCTTGCTGTCGTCTGAGGAGCGTCGCTGGCAGGTGAAGCCCTGGAACATGGTTGGGGAAAGGCAGGGGCCCTCAAACGGTGAGTCCTTCATGCCGAAGCCGTTGCTTAGGGTCTTCCACGCTCCTTGAAAGTGCTCCATCAGTAACACTAAGCACTTAAAATGGTCTGAAAAAAGAAAACATGCGTCACCTTTATCGGCCTTCTCTGATTGCCAGGACTATCACAGATAATAATAGAACCAATACATGCTGAGTAGCGTCCGTTTTTACAAAGCAATGCTAATTTACAACTGGTCAGTCCTTGCTCTTTATTTAAACACAAGGGAAACCCCAACAGATGGCATGAACTCAACCTGATTACAACAAGGACCGTTTTCATCTGCAGCTAAAAGTAAATGTAGCAAAACAAAAAGATTTGAGTTACATCATTATAAGGTTAGAGGTAATCTTGCTGAGAGCAAAACTGTAGGATTAAGCTAATAATTAGGTGAATTTTTAAGGAGCAGGTAATGGCAACTATTTAAATTATACAAAGAGAACATCGACCTGCATAAAATAAGCAAACATTTACATACAGATTTCTCTGTGGTATGTAGTTTTAAAGCAAGCATGACAAAATATACTGAACCTTTTCTTTCCCCGCCTCTATTGCCTATTTTATTCAGACACTAACTGTATAAAAGACAAAAATAAGTTGCCAAAAAAAAAAAAAACGAAAAGAAAAAAAGCACGGCCCGCATAACCCCACACACCCTCTCTTTTAGCTTTGTTTGCACTACAAACTGCGGTGCTATATTGTAAATACAGAGGGTTTTTGCCCATTTCTGGCAGAGACTTTATGCATGTGCACTATCAGCTTGCATAACTCCTAATTACCACTAATGTATTTATACAAAGACCTGCTGACCCTAGAGAGGTGGTTCTTTTTCTTTTTCTCCCCCTCTCTCTGCTGTTGGTGTTGCTGCTGTTCCACCAGGCCTATTTATATGTTCTATGTGCAGGAAAGCTAAGGAAAAAAGGCTAAATGAAAAAACAAAAAATGGCTCTTTAAAGTTCCTACATGCTGAAGGATTTGAGTTCAGAGCTGCAATGTGGCCAAAAAAGGGCATCAGTGCAAAACAGAAACACAGATAACAGGCAGTATAAAGTGCACTGCAATACAATGAAAAGCTGTACAGCTATTCATGTAGGGGAGAAAATTGCCACATTACAGTATCAGAATTGTAAAGACCAAATATGTCACTTTATAAACAATAGGACATAAATTACCAAATGTGGACAACAGAAAGGATTTTAATCTCATGTTAAATCATATTTAGTTCCACTGTGTTTGAGTCACAGTTGTACACAAAACCCTTGCATTTTGGCACAGTTACTTTAAAACCAATCACCTTTAACTATAGTTGAATTTATCCAAACCATCAAAAAGTACTCAGAATTTCAAGAATAAACCTATTAATCAGATTACTTTTTAAATAGGACTAATTTTACTATAATGAGCAATTAATGAATTGTTAAGATATATTTCATTCATCTATCATTAATTGCACTTAAACTCTAACAGAGGTTATATTCAGTATTAAATATGCTATCATCACAAACTTTATGATTTCCAAACATAAGCAGAGTATTTCCTGGTGCCAAAAAATCACACAAACCTGTTTTAATAAAGGTGTGCATTGAGCTAAAGGAATAATTTAGCTGACATTTATTTTAAGCAGTAAGAAGGACATTTTATCCAAGTATTGTGCAGATGATAATAAATATAGGTAAATTACATGACTGATTCGATTTAAGCAGAGTGAAAACCCCTCCTTTTTCGTTCTTTATCGCTAACCTACTCACAGGATGACTGTATAACTCTAAAGTTATTTCTGATTTCAGGTGAAACTGTTTGTTGACATCCAACTGCTGTAAATGCTACCAGCAACCCTCCATAGTAATTGTCAGCGTGTTAGCCTTAATAATGGCTCGGGCTGTGGAAAACCACACTTTTTTCCATCGAAAACGAATAAAATATCTAAAACTACAATATACAAAAAGTCAATGAAAATACACAAGTGATTTTCTAAAACTAACAAACGGCAGCCGCAAAATGTAGCTACGTGTTTTCACGAGGCCTGGCTGTTTCAGTTAAAACACTGATACTGCCCCGAAGGCCCTCACAAGCAGACACTTCACGTCCTACTTCTCTCTTCCGTGCATTTCTAGTTCATTTTGTATTTACTTTCATGCTTTTTTTAAACCAACGTTGCTTTAAGTAGCGTAAAACAATAAGCGTTAAGTTTATAGGATGGTCGTGCTCACCAAGAGAAGTTAAAAAAGTTCTGCTCCGCCATAACTTTAGCGAAAAGTGGCGTCAGTGACATCATCATCATAATTGCAACGCATTCAAAGGAGGAAAAAAACGGGAAAAGTAGTCAAAGTTTGTGAAAAGTCCAGACGTTGGATCAAATAATCCCACCGCGGATGGATATCACGTTAATCAAAGAAGCGAAGGTCACAGGTGGGTCTACTTTTTTTTTTTTAGAAACCACCCAAAAAAGCAGGAAAATGTTGAATCCTGAAAGTCGTGTTGAAAGGGGAAGAGCAACAACAACAAAAAAAAAAAAAAAGGTCCTTCAAAGTAACACCAGAGATTTTCTTCTTCTTTCCAAAGTAGATGTCCGACGAAGTGCTTCGTAATGCGGCGCTGTTACAATCAATATTTACGTTGTTCGGGGAGAAGCGGGCTGACTTGGTGCCGTGCGTCCATCTGACGCCAGTGTTTGAAACAGGACCTTGCAGTCACAACAAGACCTGCAAACATCAGTCACACTGCGCAACTATTACACAGAACTTTAAACCCTCCCACTGAGACGAGGCTGTTGCTTTTAACTCTCTAAGATATGTCTGAATTTTTTAACGCTCCGCTGTTGATATAATCGCGCATAATTTATGCACACTTCAAAGTCCTGCCTTGTCCCGAGTCGTAGTATTTAAAGCAGTGAGCATAAAAAAAGAAAAACTTACAACGGCCAATCGCCCTTTTGCAAATTTGAGACAACATTTATATGAATTTGAAACTTATGTTCAAACGAGTTTAAGGTTTGTTTTTTAAAGCACGAGCAAATTAGTAACCAGCTGATGGTTTTAAGGGAGTAAATTATAACCATGCGCGACCTCTTCTGGGGAAAAGAGGATACTGCAAAAATCTTTGGAAATATACCTTATTTTTTTCTTCTTACAGTACACTTCGTGTCCCATTTGACGAATTTGATCAAAAGAAAGAAAGATATATATATATAAACAAATGTGTAGTGCGTGCACGTTGCACGGGCAACTTATATCTATTTTTGTTTTTGTCCAGAGGACATAAATGCACTGTATTTCTTATTTGCACAGTGTGGTATGGTGTTTTCATTTTTATACCCAAGCATTATTGCAATTTCTTCTACCCTAAAAATGGTTTATTCGTTCTGAAACTGACCTTGAAACAATATAACTGAGAAACCATACCCATTTCCACTCACCATGTCTTCACCATGTCTGTGGCATCCTGGTCAGAGTCCCCTAGGGTACCCAAATAGCCTGTAGTTCCACTCAGCAGGCTATGATAGCATCTTAGAGAGAATCAGTTTTTCTACCATCCTGTGTCATCTATACCCTGATGGATTCAGCATATATTGTTTCCATATGGCAGCTCCAGACACTTTGGAGAAGAGATTGAAGCGTAAAACTTAATGTTCAAAAGCGAAATATGCATTAATGTAGATTTGTTAAAATATGCAAATACCTATGGCCTCTTTGCAGATGAGTAAGCAATCCAACAGCTAACAGAAACACCAACTAATGTTTCTGTGAAGATGAGGGCAGGGTTTTGTCATTGTGATGCTTTTTAAGGCATCCTTTTCCACATTCAACTCTACTCCTGCTTTTAATTAGAATAGAACTTAATGGCTTTGAAATATTGCCATGAAGGTTATTATTGCAGTTAATTCCCTTACTCAAATGTGTGCCAGCTTCTAAAATGACGATATTTTAAAAAAACTAAAACCTAGTGTTGGAGCTTTAGATCCAAGTCCACCTTAAGAATGATGAGCGCATCTTCCACCTATTGATCCATGCACTGAGCACTCTTAGCTGAGATGCTTGCAGCTCCAATGGTTGCCTCTGACAGTTTTGCTGCCTTCAATAAACAATCCATCAATCCATTAGGGACTTTTTAAAGAGTAGCAGGTGGTAGAAACGCAACAGAACTTTTAGGTCATCGTAACTCCTTCAATCAAGTTTTAAACATTGAATTTTCATACAAACTCTTAATAAATATATATATACATATATATGTGTGTGTGTGTGTGTGTGTGTGTGTGTGTGTGTGTGAGGGTTTATTTTTAAAAGTTGCAGAGAAACCAAACACTTTTTGTTTCCATCCAAAATCCAAGTGGGGATTATGACATTTCAGAAGCATAATACTTCATCCATTCCAATACTACGGTTGATGTGTGTTTGGGATCGTGGCTCAGCTGGAAAGACCAACTATCTCCAAACTGCAAGCACCTGCTTGATGTTAAAGAATTTAGAGTTGGTGCTTGTTTTATTATGCTACCCACTTTGTCCAATCCTTTAAAACTACTGCTGGCTCAGAAATAGGCATGACGTGGCTACCACCATGCTTAACAGCTGGTTGAGAATTATTTAGATTTGATTCTTAGGATGTTACTTCAAATGCATTGATAAAGGTCCAAAATTAAAATATGATCCTTACAGATAATAAGGTGTATAACTGTCACTGGCACAGTGAGTAAAAATCAACATATATCATTTTTATATTCTATAGTTCACATCTTTAACTAGTCATGGTCTTTAATAAGTTAGATAACTTAAGGAAGTTAATCAAGATGATCACAAAACATATTTTTTTATAAATTAAAAAAATATGTTTTTTTAACCTGAATTATTACAGCCTTCTACAGAAGATCCATAGAGAGCGTTCTGACCAGCTATCTCACTGTGTGATGTTGAGGCTGCAGCGCCGCAGACTAGAAGAAAGTGAGAAGAGTAGTGAGAACAGCAAAGAGGATTATCGGGGCTCCTCTTCACTCCGTTAAAGACATTTCATCCCAGCGCTGTGTGTCCCGAGCCTTTAACATCATCAGCGACCGCTCATATCCCCACCATGGACTGTACTCCCTGCTGCCCTCTGGGAAGAGGCTTCACAGCATTCGCTGCAAGATCAGTAGGTTCTGCAACTACTTTTCCCCCACTGCCATAAGACCGTTGAACTGTTGGGGGAAAAATTTGAAAAAATTGATTTAGAGAGAAAAAGAAAAATGTCTAATGCATAATTGCACCATATATATTTGTCTTTGCAATGCTCTGAACTTCCATTTCAATGCCTATTTTGAAAAATGTTTTTATTTTTCTCCCACATTGTTTATATTTGATTACTGCTGGACTTTATGAGATGGAAATGTTCATTTCACTACAAAGCTGCTGGCCATTTACTGTCTTAAAGCTTTACAAAACAAATTTTTGTTTTGTATACACTCTGTGTATAAAAAATGAAAATAAAAGTTGTCTAACTCTTAGTCTACTTAATGTATATACATCTTTCTCAAACCTGAGGAATAACAATAACTTTATATAGAAAAACAATGGAGGAACCAGGGCTTCCTCTGGTGGAAGTCAGAAGAATTATGTTTTATGGTAAAAGGGATGTATTAAACAATGTAAGCAATGATCAGGCTCTCCTTAAGAATCTAATATCAGATTCTTAATTTATTTTTCTATGACAGAATTTAAAAGAGAAAAAAAATGTGATGTATTATTTTTGATGGAGGCTTTTCGTTTCTAACAGATTATAAAATTCTAATTTTAGTCTATTTGATTTGTCAATCTAGGATCACAGCTGATCAATAAAAAAAAAAAAAAAAATGGCCCGATTCTGAATGCGATTGGTTTATAGCGTCATCTCTATCCACAATTATGTGGACAACATTGAACCAGGGTCTGATCTGATGGCAATGTTTAAATTCTTTCTAACGTTAAAATTGGGAATTGGGGGCTGAAATACAAATCATCCTGTTTCTATGTGTTCAATGACACAAATGCAGTCAGCCGAGCTACACGTGTTTTATCCCTTCAATTTTTTAAAGCTCTGTAGCAAGATGCCAACTCAATTTAGTTATATAGTACAATGAAAGCAACTGCGGTAATTACATAAAAAGGGCAAATAAGAGATAAAAATTAACCCCCCAGTATCACTGAAGGTAGCAATCGTGTATTTGGAGGTATCCATGGGTGAAAAAACTCACTTTTCCATTCATACTTTTAATATCCAGGTATATTTGTGGTTATTTGTTCTGCTTCAAACTTGTGAATGTCAACTTGTGAGCCTTATGTCCCCCTTTCTTTCATGTCAGCGCAGCAAACTACACAACTAGTATTTAACCCTTTATAGGGCAAGTTACCGTTTCTTATTAATGGCATACAAATGGAAATCAGCATTAATACCTCTAAGGTTATGTTGTACCACAAAAAAAAAAAAAAGAAGTGTTTCTTACACTCAGAGTGTTTTTCATGAATTTCTTATAGAATAACTGTTTAATATTTTTGGGCAATTTGTTGTTTCTTGTTATTACATTGACATTAATTTTTTCCATCAAAATATCCATATTTATTGAATGTTATAAAGGTAATAAAAGTCTTGTCCTGGATTCCAATAACACTATTGGCTTGAGTTTTGGATTTTCAAAGTATTTTACTGAATGCCCTATAAAGGGTTAAAATAAAATAAAAAACTATATGTGATGTGATATTGCTCTCTCCTGAAATAAAAAAAAAATAGAACGCGTATCAAGATCTATACTGGGAGGTGTGGATGGATGACTAAAAGATACTTAAGGTAAAAATGGGACCCTTCCGTGTCCGTGATTGGCTAATGTCCAGAGGCGGTGTCCAGAGATCCTTGCATATGATTGGTTTCTTGTGGAAGCAGGGGCCAATGACAGCGCGGCTTTTTACTGGATAATGCGAATGACAATTCAGGAACTCCTGCTGGCACCGCATGTAGCGCAAAGAAGGAGGCGTAAACACTGACACAGCTAGGTAGCCATCAAGGTAAGTAATAAAACGGCATTAAATTCAACCATTTGCGACCTATTATATAGAATTTAAATGCACGTGTACTGTTTGTTGACACTAACGATAGCCCGGACTATATTGTGTGATTTTATTCCTTCCGTGAATAAATACAGCTTTCAATAAATGTTTGCTCCCACAAAAACTCAAGCAACGGGCTGTTAGCCTGGCCTGCTAATGCTAGCTCGTCACAACGACTTTGGTGTGTGCGCCCTGGCGGGAAATTTTGTTTTTACGGCATATTTCCTCGAGCAGCCACCAAAACGCACTTATGGCGGATATTTATCACAACTAGGCGCGGATTGTCGGTTTCTTGCAAGGCGGCGCGGATCGGTCGTCGACCGAAGCGCGTTTGTTGGTCGTGAGGTGTTGAGCTAATGTTTGCTAGCGGACTGGGCTAGCCAGCGCTGCTGTCTCGCGAGTACGCAGGAGGAAAATCAACGTGACTAGGCCAACGTTAGCGGAGTTTCAACC